CCTCACAAAAAAAAAAAAAAAAACTAAGTAAAAATCAACAAAGAATGGACACTAGCATAATTCCCAGTCCTGGACTAACTACACAAGTAGGCGCATGAAGAGCAGCCCCCACATGCCCTAGAAGCTGATTTCCATTCTCTTCTAACATAGGAGGTACACATTCAAGTCAAGATGGGTCTGTGTTGGAGTCTGATTCGAGTCTTTGGCATTCAGGAATTGTGCAGTCTGGCCCTTAGTTAAGGGGGGGGCCCAAGATCTTAGGTTATTTCCAAGACTAGAGGGCAGGTAATAACCAAGAATCTGACCCCACTTCTGGTATCAGAGAGTAAAACACTGACTAAATAGTATTTCCACAGGCTTCAAACGCAAATCAACATCTAAATGTGAAGCAGTTCTTGCAGGTACCGCCAGGAACACAAAGCCGAGGTCAGCACACTACAGCCCACTGCTTGTTTTTAAAGTTTACTGGGACACAGCCACATGCATTCATTTATGTATCTGTTTATGGCTACCTGCACATTACAACGGGAGAGGCGAGCAGTTGCAACAGAGACCATACAGCCTGCAAAGCCCAAAGTATTGGGCCCTTTTCAGAAAAAAATTGCTGACCCTTGCTAACAAGTATACAGAGAGCATTTTATGTTCGACCCTGGGATGGGGAGTGGATCAGGAACAGTGAGCTGAAGAAAATGTTTAGCCTGAGTCACCAGGTTTAAAGAGAGAGCATGGGCTCACCAAAGTCCCATGTAAAGAGAAGATCAAATTACTAAAATGAGATCGTACCCATGACCCTATTATGAGCCTATCAATAGTGATCCCAAATACAAACTGTAAACTCGTGGTTTGTGGCCCTCTGTGGCTGAAATAACTCTGTGGGGATTTGCTCTGTATTTTCTGCAAATGTTTTAAGTCAATGCCTGTTCTGGTCTCACTCATATGAGGATATGCTGTCATACTTGCATGACCACAAATCATACTTCCAAGTACCTGCTCCCTACTCCCCATCATGTTTCAATTTACAGGGGAAAACCAAAGTCCCATTAAGGAGAGAGATATGCTTACAAGCAGAAAAATAGTCTGCTGCCCACGGCAGACACCAATACTCAATCCTGATTTAAGACCACTGTTTGTTTTGAGCTGGAAGGGACCTTTGATTCTCTGTGGTCCCCTGGACTTTCATGAACTCATCAAATCTCATGCTTAACAGAGCTTTAGAAAAAAAAGGTCTGAAAATATTTTTTAAAATAATTTTATTTAGGATATTGATAAGCAGCAGGAGTGAAGAGTAGCATGTGCTCTGGGTAACACACCTCCGTTTCCTGCTGCTAAAACTGCATCGGCCAGATATTCCTCTTTCTGACCTCACCTCCCACCCGACACCTCTGGAACTCTTCCAATGTCTGATCTAAAACTGTCAGTCACCAGCAAAACCCCCTATATATCCTTAACCTCTTCTTCAAACGTTCCCTTCCCCTTCCAGTCCTTAATGAACCTCAGTTCTCCCCTAAAGACAGTGTTTCCTGAAGCTCTCCCATTGTCTAAGAGAACGGTCTCAGCAGACCCACAGACCCATGCATGAGGAAAATAAAGGTTAACTGATGCAATCCACTGAGATTCTGGAATTGTTTGCTATGCAGCATGGGCACCAATGGCTGACTGACTGTCATGGAAACTGATACCAGAAGAGCTATCAGCTCTATCAGCAAACCCTAAAATCTGTGGTACTGACTTTGAGACCAGGCAGCATTAGACAAGTAAACCCTTATAGGAGCTGGAAAAATGGAGACATAATATGCAACAGTGAAACCGTTGGTAAGCAGTTCCCAGCAACAACCTGGAAGGTAGGAAACATCAAATGAAGTTCTAGCAGAGAGGCCTCAGCTGACCCACAGACCTGAGAGTAAGAGAATAAATGTTGACTGACATGGCTGTTGAGCGCGGGGGGTTGTTTACTAGGCAACATGACTGCAGCAACAGCTGAGTGTCTAAGGCCGGTCACTCCATCTGTCTACAGTCCCCGTCCCCTCCTTGCTATTCAAGACATTGCTACAGCAATTTTCATTGCCCTGAAGCATCCGATTTGCTTCTTCTACAGGCTCATTCTCAAAGGTAAACATCCTCTAATTTCAGCGGGTCAGCAAATCCTTGGGCTCTATCTTTAAGATAGACCCGGAACTTGACTGCTTCTTATCACCTCGATGCCGCCACCTACTCTAAGCCAATGCCGTCTCTCAATTCTATTATTGTAACAGCTTCTGTTCTGGTCTCCCTGCTTGCAGCCTTGCCCTGCTACAACCTATTCTTGACAGTGCAGCTACAACAATTATTTAAAAGCTCAAGTCAGATCATGTGCTTCTTTGCTCAAATCCTTCCCATGTGTTTCCAGGTCACTCAGCGTAGAAGGCGAAGTCTGTCACTATCTGCCTGCCTCCCTCCTCACCCCTGCTCCTCTTCTCCACCACTGCTCTTCCTCAGACCACCCCGCTCCAGCTCACCGTCATCCTTGTGGTCCTTGCACACGGCAGGGAAGCTGCTACTGCAGAGCCTCTGCACTTGTGCTCAACTCAGAATGCTCTTGCCCACACGTCCGGACAGCCACAACTCTCTGAGTCTCTGCTCCACCGATATCTCAGTGAGCCCCCGCCCCCGGCCACCCTATTTAAAATTACAACCACTCATTTTTGTTTTCTTTTCTCTATAGCACTGACCATATGTGATCCATGAGATATTTTACTTAACTGTTTAATCACCATCTCCCCAGATAGAATGAAAGCTCTCAGAGTCAGGTATTTTATCTGTTTCTTTTCACAGCTATCTCCCTAGTGCCTACAATGGTGCCTGGACACACAACAGACACTTAACAGACATTTGCTGAATCAACGCATGAGCCTGTAGGATAAGAGGCAGGTCTAGTATATCTTATACTTCTAAGTTACGAGAAAATCAACCAGGCTCTTAGAACGGAAAGGAAACACTGCAGTCAGGACAAAGATACACACAGTTTTAGTAAGATATTTTCTTACTTTGGTAATAAGCCTTTTTTCTTTTCTCATTTACAGCAAAGGAAATAAAATACAGAAATTATGATGACTAGAATTCAATATAATTATATTTAGTGCCCCTGGACTGAAGCCCTATTTTCAAAATTTCAGTTTTTTTTTTATATTTCTAATGTATTACTTATTTTCACCATCACAGAAGATTTTTACCTCCTGGGAGTGTATTTGCATGACATACTAGCTTCCTAAGAAATGAATAAAACATTCACCCATGTTCTTAAAACAGAAAACAGTTTACTCAATAAGAACTACGTCAATTTTTAGAAAAACAGTAATGAAGTTCAACTGTACCCTTCAACTATCTTTTATTCTTCTCTTTTGTTAATCTTTCTCCAAACTAAAAAAGAAATTTTTTTAATTAATTACTGCTCTAAGGCTTAGATGTTACTAGAAATAACCATTTATCAAGTTATTTTAGAAGGAAGAGGAGCAAACTGTAAGACGAGCTGACAATATTTGTAGATAAGCACAGTGCGAGCACTCCTTGAACGAAGCCTATTTACCAGACAACATATATCTGTCAACCACGAGAAGAAATATGACATTATTGTCATCAGATATGTGAAATGAATCTAGCCACTAGATCTAAGTATGAAGCGTATTGCTTCAGTTAACCAAAATTAAATTTTATTTTAAACCAGCACATTTTACAATAAGGCTACCCTGGAATTATTTTGTTAAGGGAACCCACCCCCACCACCCCAAGAAAAACTAAAAGAGAGAGAGAGAGAAGAAAAAAGAATCTCTTTTTCATTTTAAGTGTGGCAATGTCACAGTCTACCAAGCCTTTGAAGATTACTTTGATATCTCCTCTTTCCCCAAGGAACTCATTACTCGTATTTCAGTGAAGACGGTGTGACAGACACTAGCTCTTTTAATAAAGATTTACTTTTTTGTGGGAACTTGGCAAACAAATCATACCATTTTCAAATTCAGTTAACAGGTATCGTTTGGCATATTGACAAGAAAGCCATCGTATTCATTTCAAATCAAGGTTTCAATTGTTTTGTAACTCTAATGGTGACTAGCGTTTTTTATTACTTACCGAGTCCCAAAAGATCAACCGTGTGCTCTGCAGCCTTCTTAGGGCTGGTACTTTTTTTAGGCTCCACCTGCTGATCTTCTTTCTTCTGCAGCTTTAAAGTAAATAATCAGATTTATTAATTTTTCTTTAATAAATCAAACAAGCTTTTAACCCTCAATTAATTTTGTGTATTTTTGACGTAATGAAGCATATGAGGCATGGTGTAATGAAGCCTACAGCATTTATTACTATATAAAAAACAAGCAAATATGATCATTGAACTTGAAATGACAAACCTTACTTATTCAGACCCCAAAATCATGAATATACACATTTAATCTTAATGTCATTATTCTTAATCATTAAATCCTTTATGTGAAATTATATTTTTTTAAGAGCTGCATTTCATAGTATTTGCCAGTTACTGTTAACGCGTGTCTGTTGGCAGAGGTCGGTCGGGCAGGCCTTGGCGTCTCCATGAGCACACTGTCACCCTCCCCTCATCCACACTGCTGACAAGTGAGACTTCACTGCACCAAGAAAAGCCTAATGAAATGTTATTTGATATAGGTTTTCCTGCTGAGTGTACACTAGCAGTTACATTTTATATATAATATTCTTCTAGTTCTCAGGAGCCCAAGTCACAGAGACACATTCCAAACTCTCTTTCTCATTCTTATTTATACAAAAAATGTGTAGGACAGGATGAAAAGACCTACATCTACTGGATTCTCAACTCGAGAGCCTACTTCTCCATTTCTTTATTGAGGTTTAATTGACACATAGCATTATATTAGTTTCAGGCATACAACATGACGACACGAGATTTGTATATACTGCACAAGGATCACCACAATAAGTCTGGTTAACATCCATTACCATACACTGTTACAAAATTTTATTTTCTTGTGATGAAAACTTTTAAGATCTACTCAATCCACTCTCTTAGCAACTTTCAAATATACAATACAGAATTATTAACTATAGCTGTACATTACACCCCCAGGACTTATTTATTTTATAGCTGGAAGTTTGTACTTTTTAACTTCCTTCTTCCATTTCACCCAACCCCACCCCTGCCTCTGGTAACCACCAATCTGTCTGTTCTTTGTACCTATGAGCTCGGGGGTTTTTTTGTGTACGTGGGGTTTTTTGTTTTGGTTTTGTTGGTTTTTTTTTTAGATTCCACATATAAGCAAGATCACATGGTACTTGTCTTTCTCTGTCTGACTTATTTCACTTAGCATGATGCCTTCAGGGTCCATCCGTGTTGTCACGAATAGCAAGATTTCATTCTTTTTTATGGCTGAATGATATTCCATTGAATACACAGCCTACCTCTCTTAAACCGAGAAAACAAAGCATTCATTCATTCTTTTCTCAAACCATTCCTACAAGATTATTGCTTCTACAACTACACACAACTCCCTTAGTTGTTATAAGAGTTCATTTTTTGTTGGCTATACAGATATATAATTTCTAAGAACATACATCTACCCTCACTTGTTTTTAGTCACTACTATCTCCTCAGAATTATTTTTTTAACCAATTAGCCTACCATCACAGATATCAATTCTTTAATAACCTTCTCAAACACAGAAATATCAGCCTATAATTATATATAATTCTCAGAAGTTTAACATAATCCATTTCACATTCTCTTTTACTTTTCAAACTCCAGTATAAGAAAGACCTACCTTCTCAGTAAAATAATTTCAAAGAAAGCATAGTTTGTAGTAGCAAAGTAAGCAATTCTTTTCAACTGAATAGTTAAACTGCTGGAATTTCCTTCCTTTTTTTCCTTAACTGGAGAGCCTGTGTTAATATAAACACCTGATCTGCAAGAGAATCTGAGGATTAAGTGGCCATAAGCACACACTGCAAATATTCCTGGGCAGGATCCGGAAGCTTCCTGGGGCAGGTCTTCACTGGGCACACCCCCGCCTGCAGTACTCTGGATATTAAGGTCTGAGTGTCTTATGCTCAGTAGGCATTTAAAAATCTAGTCCCTGATTTACTTTAAAATCAGAAAGCCTTTTAAAGTTGAAAATAAATTTAACGAAAAGACAACCTAACAATTGGGAGAAGATATTTGCAAACCATACTTCTGATAAGGGCTTAATCTCCAAAATATATAAAGAACTCATGCATCTCAGCAACAAAAAAACTACCAACCCAATTAAAAAATGGGCAAAAGACCTGAAAAGACATTTCTCCAAAGAAGATATACAGATGGCCAACAGACACATGAAAAGATGTTCAAAATCACTAACTATCAGGGAAATGTAAATCAAAACTACAATGAGATATCACCTCACGCCCGTCAGAATGGCTATAATTAACAAGACAGGAAACAACATGTGTTGGAGAGGATGTGAAGAGAAGGGAACTCTCATACACTGCTGGTGGGAGTGCAAACTGGTGCAGCTGCTATGGAAAACAGTATGGAGATTCCTCAAAAAATCAACGATAGAACTACCATATGATCCAGCTATTCCACTGTTGGGTGTTTGTATCCAAAGAACTTGAAAACACCAATTTGCAAAGGTACATGCACCCCTGTGTTCATTGCAGCCTTATTCACGATAGCCAAGACTTGGAAGCAACCTAAGTGCCCATCAAGGGACGAATGGACAAAGAAGCTGTGGTATATATACACAATGGAATACTACTCAGCCATAAGAAACGACGAAATCCAGCCATTTGTGACAACATGGATGGACATTGAGGGTATAATGCAAACTGAAATAAGTCAGAGGGAGAAGGTCAAATACCGTATGATTTCCTTCATTAAGTAGTAGATAATAACAACAATAAACAAACATAGGGACAGAGATTGGATTGGTGGTTACCAGAGGGGAAGGGGGGAGGGAGGAGGGTGAAAGGGATAATTCGGTACATGTGTGTGGTGATGGGTTGTAATTAGTATTTTGGTGGTGAACATGATGTAGTCCATGCAGAAATAGAAGTACAATGATGTACACCTGAAATTTTTTACAATGTTATAAACCAATGTTACTGCAATAAACAAAACATTAAAAAAAAAAAAAAAAAAAAAAGAAGTTTAGCAAAAAAAAAAAGAAAATAAATTTAGATAACCTGGCCAAACTCATTCATTGTGCAAATTAACTGAGGCTAAGATATTATATGCCAAACAGAGATAGAATAACCGATTTTATTTTCTGTCCCTCAAATTAGAATTCTTTCTTTGGTGTAATATTTTACTGAAGCTTCTTCCATGGAAAGAAGCATGGAACAGAAACCAAACCTGTGAGGGGCTCCTTGCTATTCACTTTCTGCAGTCTAAGAATCTGGAACGTCTTCAGGCTAAAACGACTTCTTTTTATTTTTTTATTTTATTTTTTTATTTTTTTTTGTGAGGAAGATCAGCCCTGAGCTAACAACTGCCAATCCTCCTCTTTTTTTTTTTTTTTTTTGGCTGAGGAAGACTGGCCCTGGGCTAACATCCGTGCCCATCTTCCTCCACTTTATATGGGATGCCACCACAGCGTGGCCTGACAAGCGGTGCATCGGTGCGCACCCAGGATCCAAACCGGCAAACCCTGGGCGGCCACAGCAGAGTGCACACACTTAACTGCTTGCACCACCGGGCCAGCCCCTAAAATGATTTCTTTTTAAAAATTCAAATTCAAATTCTGGTTTGAGGGACCTTCCCAGCAAATTAGAACTACATTTTAAAATAGCTCTGAGTATGAAATTACCCTCACTGTTTGGAAGGGGGCGAAAAAGCTGAACGCAGCAATGTAGAGATCCTCTGGTAATCACTCCCACCCTCAGAACTCCTGCCAACAGTGGAAAGTATCTTTCCTTCCAGATGTCCACACATCTGCAAGTGTCGCAAGAGTTTCTCTTTTTCCTTAGATTTCAGTGCGTCTTAGTTTAAATGGGTGTTTGTCAACCACTTCCATCGGAAACTATATAACAGAGAACATGTATATCTATGCAGGGTGAAGAGAAATTTGACAGCAAGAATAAAGGAAGAACCTAAAGAGAGTTTATCTGCAGGTGTGGCCCACAAGTGGGTTTTGAAATCTATTTTACAGATTACAACTAGAATTTTTTTTTTTTGGCATTTAAAAGAAAATGAAATAGAATAGAAAATAGAATGCACCACAAAGTAAAGGTAAGTATTCATGAATTGTTTTGCACATTTGTGACACACATGAGTGCCTGTGGGCTGGATCATAACGTACAAGATATTTCTTACCAGAGTCAGGGGCTGAGAAACACTGCTCTGAAGACAGTCTGCTCCTTTGCTCCTACGATGGGTCAACTACATGGGTGAGGAATGCCTGTGCCCTAAACCTTACCAACTACAGTCATGCGTCACGTACCAACATTTCAGTCAATGACAAACCGCATTACGATGGTGGTCCCATAAGATTGGTACCACACAGCCTAGGTGTGTAGCAGGCTAGAGCATCTAGGTTTGTAAAGGACACCCTACAATGCTCACACAACGATGAAATTGCCTAACAATGCATTTCTCAGAACATGTCCCCATTGTAAAGTGACACATGACTGTACTCCAAATAGAGATGGCTCTTCTAGATGGATTTCAACAATTTAGACATGAATTACCCTTATAGTTGGCATCTCAAAGGTTGTTCCACCAATCAAAAAGGCAAAAGAGTTGATTACTTTGTCTAGTATCCCTTCATCCTTAAATCCTGCTGAGCAGTATCATGAACATGTTGATGTGTGGCAGAGATAATTTCAGAGATCACTCTTCCATGTCTTCATAGTAATTCAAGTGCTGCCTTATAGACATTAGTGAGAGCTACAAAGACTGTATTCAGATGATACTCTTCTTTGCTCATAAATGTAAACATAAGAAATTAACCTATTTTTATTTTGAAACATATAAAGAGAAAATTCAAGGACAGATACACCAAAGGACCAAACTACACAGGTAAGGAATCATCCTGAAATAATAGCCAGAATAATACGTAATCTTTTAGAGCTAAATATCCATAAAAAGAGAGTAATTTTGTATACAACTTCTTCAAGTGACTTTCCAATAACAAAATTAATTCTCATTTATATTTACAATTATTTTTACAGATCTTTGTGTAAAATGATAGGAAGAAA